AAAAAAAAAAAAAAAAAATTAAAATAAGTGCACTCTTATAAACACAATTTCTATAAGGCTTCAAAAAAAGAAAAAAAGAAAAAAAAGGAAAAAACAAAAGAAAGAGGATTAAAAAAAAAAGGAAAGAAAAAATACAGTGTTGTTTGGTGGATTATCACGCGCGTCTCATTATTATCAAGCTCCCATTCCTTTTCAGGTATTGCTCGATAATTACACGTAGAGTTATTACTGAACATGTTTGTCCAATTTCTATAATGCTTATTGAAATATAATAATCGCTTTCTGCTCTGTAATTCATCTGATGAAAAGAACGAAAGTACATTAAGTTTTATACTATGTTAAAACGGAGAAACTTATTTTATCATTGCACGTATTATAGAAATGTGTGATAGGAAAACGTTGAGAATTTGTCGCTTGTTTGTATTTAGATTATTATTAGATTGTATGTACAAAGCGTAATCTATAATATCATATACGTAAAAAGAAAAAAAAAGAAGAAAACATAAAAAATACGTGCATATAATGTTTATGCGTGTTGAAACATATACATATGAGTTTAAAAAAATAAGGAAAGATACAAGAATTCTTTGTATTCACGAAATACGGTTTACGATAAATATAAATAAGTGTACCTTATTGTGATTGTATCGCAAATGTGGCAAGCGAAATCAGACGTTTTTTCGTCAACGTTAATAATAATAATAATAATGATGATGATTATAATAATAATAATAAAGTAATAATAGTAGTAGTAATAATAATAATAAATAATAATAGGTTCTAGATTCAAACGTTTAATTATAAGCAGTCTGAGACTCGCAATAAAAGAGAAAGAACTGCACGTAACGAGAACGATTTTTAATTATATCTCGGTATAAGAAAAAACTATTTTGCACGATGTACGGCCAGGAATATAAAATCCTAGTATTTTACTAACATAATCCTTTTGTACATAGAACTTCATTCTTTAAACCTTTATATAAAAAAAAAAAATTGTTTCCAAATAAATCATAGTCTTAAAATTGATCTATGATTTGTAATTATATTCGATATTTCGGTCATTTGTTACTTAACCATCATGTATATGTCCCATCAAATTTTGTTTAACAGAATTGAAGTAACTAAGCATGCAATGCATTCGTTTGTCATTTCACTTGTTAATTGTAATGATTGATTTGTAAATTCTCCTTACAAAATGAGTTTTACCCAGATGGAACATAATGACAGAAATAAACATACACAGTCTCTTAATAGAAGACTTCAAAGTGCGGTACGATACGGAAATTATAATTGGAAGATGTCATGTGGTTTTGACAAATCGGCTCAAAAAACTGTGGTCTTGGAACGTAAATCGACCTACCTATTATGCGTTAGTATCTTCAATTTTTTAACTGGCAAACAGAGAAATCAAAATAACCAAATGATCATTACTTTTTACAGAGCTACAAAGATGAATTGCAAAATGCTTGTCCAGCTGACATCAAAGTACTGAAGCATAACATTCAGGAAGACTTAAAACCAATATATGAAGAGATGAAACCTAAGGATCCCGACTTTAAAGAATATGAAGGAGATCTACTAGGAGGTACAGTTCTTCATAAAGTTGTCACTTGGGGTATAAAGAAGCATCAACAACTTTACTAACTTGTTATTAAGATCAACAAGTTTTTAGACATACATCCTAGCAAGTTGACGTTTGAACCACCAAAAGTGAAGATTTGGAACGAGTACAGAAAACTGTTGGAATTATCAAAGTTAGAACCAAAACTGAAAGCTAGTTCCAAGCAACCATTAACGCACGTGACATCATTACCAAAACTTCGTATCGACAAGTATACCTACTAAATAGTGTCTGAAAATGTTTAACTTCATAATCTTCAGTTTCAATCCTTTCAATCAGGTATAACTTCGTGTCACGTCCATATCTGAAGAAAAAATCTATAATGAGATCTAAAGTTGAAAAGAAAATATTGGTGGCAAACACGAATTACGTCCAATTTCGTAATTTTGAACCGAAGAAGATGTATAAGGTATGAATATGTCATTGATTGGTTTCCCTTTAATCTTTTGACAATGTAACAAAACGAAAAAGAACTCAGAATATTTCAGAGGCAAATAATTGTCTCATTATTTCGAAAACTTCATGCATTTTTGGAAGATTCAATTTTCAATCTTCTTTATAAGCTCTTGTAGTGTACTATTGAGGAGTTGCCCTTTTCGACTAAATCGTGTTTTTTCATGTCAAAGAATGCAATAAAAATAACTGATGGACTAACGATTTTTATTTATTTGTGCGAAATGTGAAGAAATTTCATACAATACGTGGGAATATACATTTAATTGCGTCCAAAGAATAGAAATTGTAAAAATCCATTAGTTGTTGATATGAATTTGTATTAAAAGTTTTCTTAAAATAACTGAAAGTCCTCTTCCTGGTTGAGGCAAAAATAAAATTGAAGATTGAAATTAAAAGACAGAAAATACGAGAACCACAGCAGAGTGAATGACACTAATAAAACATTGTTATAGAAAACAGTTGTACTGCAAAATATTAGCAACATGCCAGCGAGATTTCAAATAAGAAGCAGACCGTATCGTTCAAAGTTTCGGGTTATAGTGCAGCCCATAGTGGAGAACAGAGGCATCATTCCGCCAGGGATGCAGGTGCGATTGATTATTCTGTTCCGTTGCGACGACATTGATGCACCGGAAGAGGTATTGGTGCTAAATGTTCAATATGGAAGGCAGCTGATCATCCGATTGCACGGATACAAAGACCCTCCAATTTTGTTGGGTATAAAGTACCAGATAAAAGAGTAACAACATAAATATAAAATAATACAATCAAAGGGATTGCTGCAGTAAGGGGAGAGCTATACCTTCACTTTCCAGTAATTTGGGTAAAAAATTTAAAAACTTTAAATATGCCATGAATTAATTATCAATTAATAAAATATTTTTATTAGTCGCACCTTTAAATATGAATTTAATGTACACCTGCCTTTCTCTTTCAATGAATTCAATTTGAACGTTGGACTTATTGTAGCAAACTCTGATTTGATTGTGTACGAAATTTGATCTGACTTGGCTAAATATAAAAGAATGGTAAAGAAATAAGATAAATATTTGTAAGGGTATAGTAATACTGATAAAGATCCTTTTGCGTAGGGACTTGCCTGATCGAAGAACCATCGTTCAGATATTTGAACAAATGCGAGGAATCATTGTACCAAGCTTGGCATCCAGAGATAGCAACGTCATTTGATAATTTGGAAGTGCGATATTCTGATTATTACCAACGATAAGAGTAGTCTGTTATGACTAGCATTTGACTTCTTGTCGGTCAAGGTTATTTTCTTGATCTCAGTGAAAACAATTTTATTTCTTTGAATCACTTAGGGAAATTACTTGGAAATTCAAATTAGTAGCTGTGTAAGTTCCTCACAACAAGCAGCTGGAAAAGTGCAACTTTTTATATATTTCTTTATATTTCTATACTTGTTCATAATATATTAATTTGTTAGTTGTTTGTTTTGATACTTCTAAAGCACGAGTAAAAAAGAAAAGAAGCAAAATAATATAAAGATGAAGATAATCGAATGATGTGGTAAGAAGAATTGACCTTGAAACGACAAGAAACATCTGGTTCGAATAAAGTAGTAAAAAAGTAATATTTTTATACGTCATGAGATGACGTTAATCTTTTAGTCTATTACATCAAGCTCTGAAAGCTTATCTAGCTGTATGACGGAAGACGATGACTTCGTAAGCATGACTTTCGACTGCAAGAAAGTTTTCATAGGAGAAGAAGCTTATGTGCCGATAAAATTCAAGAATACCGGCGGTAAGGGTCGGTTTTTCATGATGAGCGAGACTGACTGGTTTTCTATGAACATCACGGTAAAAGTTTCTCTTCTTTCTATTTAGAATTATTCTTTGAAAATGGACTTTTACCTAAAAAACAAAAAAGAAAAAGAAAAGATGTTATTTACCATCCTTCTTTAAAACAGGATATCGCAGAAAAGAATATTTTAAAATTATCGTGCTTTACCGTGTGTCCCGCGTACTTTCAACTGGATACAAACGAAGAAATAGATTTTCACATGTACTTCTCACCAGAGTCCTACGGAATTCACGTAAACGAATTCGAAATTATTCATTTCCTTTCCTCGTTTATCCACTCCTGACGTTTTATATTTTTCTTCATCAGGTGGAGAAGTTGTACATATTATGCGACAATTGTACCCTACTGGCAACAGAGATAATCGGCGATGGATTAGTGTACGAACCAAATTTCATCCAGCTTAGTAAAGTATTTATACTGTAAATTCAATAAAGAAAAAAAAGAAAAAAAAAATTATAAACACGAAGAATGGCAATTAAAATAAATGAAATTCTAGCATTTGAAGAAATTAAAACCGTTTGCGAAGCATATCGATGGAAGAGCGAATTATTACGTAAAATTGAGTACCAATGCTCCTGACGGTATCGGGCAATGTATCATTGCTGTGGACAATACCAGGTATACTTCCGTTATAGTAAATTCAACGACGAAACGAAAAATTTTATTTTGACATGCTGTTAATTATTACATAAACACATCATGATGATTTTTTTGAAATAGTGAGATCAGCATGCATTTCTCCTGGATGAAAAGAAACC